ATTTTATACAAATTCTGTTTTTTTTTATTCAATAATCTTATTTTTTAATTGTTAATTATGATGAGTTTGAATAGACATGCTTACAACCCTTATAATATTAGATAGAATATGCCACTGTGATTCGCTTGCAAAAGTCGTCAGGATTTGAAATGATTTAGCCAGTATCACCTGGCATAGTACCCTTTATAATTTGTGATAATCATATTTGTATAACATTCAAGATTTCAGCTCAGTCAAACAAAGCATTATCTGTGAGGACACTCAATTACCATAAACTAAACACAGAACGGGACCAAAACAGCTTTCATTAGTTTGAATTCCAGGTCAGTGGTAGCAGCGCTCTCAGTCTATCTACACCCTCCAGAGTTTCGTAGAAAGCGTCGTCTCTTCGCAGTCTGCTTCTTCCTATTAAACCAGGCCAGAGCATTGTGATTGGCCGAATACCTCAAGCGTGTGATGGAAATGTTACGCCCCTTATCATACTGTGATGCCCTGTGTCCCGGGCGACGAGACAAAAACAATAAAACCCGTTATAAACTAGGCATTTGTTGCATCCAGTGGGGACATAATTACTGATTATAATGACTTGTACTGTCTTTTTACGTTTTGCGTTGCATCGCACCGCGTAAACATAAAACCATGTCTGTATTTGTGATACAAACAACAAGTGCTTATCTACACTGCTCAAAACTCGCGTTTGAATCGTCAGTGGCAAATTCTTTAAATATGAAAACATACTTACAGTCTGTGAGTCAGAAGCGCTAGAATGTCCTTGCAAAGTTGGAATTGCCCCACTTTATAGAAACAGCCTTTGTGCACAGCCGGCATTGTAGGCTACTCTCCCAGGTTCAGGAAACACTCAAACTTAACCACTGATTTCTAGTTTTCTAACAAAGTAGTTTTGCTTTTGTAACGAAACACATGGTGGCAGCGGCAACAATCATACAGCGAGAATAAAAGTTACGCCTTCTTTCTTTGCGTATACATTTGGGCGGCGTTATGCAAATCTTCCCACACAGTGACGTAGACATGTGGGGGTGTGTTTGAATGAGGCATTTTAGGAAGGCATGGATGAGTCTTAACTTTTATAAAGAATATCTCTTTGGGTTTGAGACTTTAGTCTTTGCAACTTTAGGGATCTTATCTATGCACGAACAGCTTGTAACACTCCAAAGAGAAAGGAAAACTTGAAATCGCATCACCCTTTAAAATTGTACTTTTTTTTTTTAATCAACTAAATGCAGCCTTGGTGAGCATGACTTCTTTTAAAACATAAAAAAATATGAAATGTTATTCACTTTTCACAATAATTTCTGGCAGATGAAAACAAACCTCTCCCTACTTTTTTTTTTCTTTTTGCGTATTCTTAAATATAATGTTACAATTTTATAGTGACATTTTATGCTGTCCAAGAACCAACAGTTTGTTCTGAGTTGTCACCATTCAACATTAAAGTCTCATAAGAGACGGAGAAAAAGCACATATTTGAGCATTAAACTTTTTATAGACTCTATTGTTTGCCCACCGAGGCTTTAGGGACACTGTAAGACGCTAATACAGCCTGGCATTTGGAAAAGCACTGTGGGAGTGCAAGTTTTCCCCTTGCCAGTGTTACGAAAATTGCTGTAGGATTATTTCTGCTACTTAGGGGGTGGATCTCTGAATATATCCAGTCTTATGGAAGAGAAGAAAAAGATAGATGTCAAAACATTCCCTGTACAACGAAACAAAAACAAACTACATTTCATTTAATCAAACAGCTGATGGTCCCCATTGACTTCCATAGTATTTCTTTCCCTAGTATGGAAGTCAATGGGGACCAACAACTGTTTGGCCACGTTCACACAGCAGCAGAATACGGTTGTCAGTCCTGTATATGTGTCCTTAATACGGTTACGTTCACACACAACCGCATTCTTCGGAACACACACGCTGTGTGAATGGAACAGGACTGGACAACTAGTTGTCTATCACGTCATACAGTGCGAGAGAGAGCCGCTCTGCCGCACAAATGCGCGTCTACCGTGTGTTACGTGTTTTCTTGTGTGTTTTCGGTAACGTTTTAGAACGTTAGTCATCTGAACGTTTTAGATTCCGTCAGTTTTCCTGTCAGTTTTGTGTTCTGCGTGCGATTCAGATGCTCCACTCTCCACCCAAATTTAAAAGCTGCTGTTGGTTAATGAAAATTTGATGAAAGAACTCGCGGCTCAATTGGACTCTTGTCATGTCAGAAAGTGATGACTTTCAGTTTTATGGACGTCGCCATCTTTGATTTTACTTTGGTCACTGTCGATATGGTTATTGGTAAGGAAATACGGGCTTGACTCCCGTTGCACGTTCATACAGACAGTATTCTAAACACAACTGTAAGCTGCTGTGTGAACTGGACATTTCGAGACTCATACCTGTAAAGAATATGCAGTTGTCAATCCCAAAAACTGACAGTGTGAACGTAGCCTTTGTTTCTTCAAAATTCTTCAAAATATCTTATTTTATGTTCAACATAAGAAAGAAACTAATACAGGTTTGGAACGACATGAGGGTGAGTAAATGATGACAAAATTATAATTTTTGGGTGAACTATTCCTTAAAAAATGTCACGTGGTGTAACTGTCAAGTAAAAAAAACAATTTGACAGTTTACAACCTGAAGTAATCTTACCTTGTTATAAAGGCATAAAAAGAAAAGCATAACAAATAATTATGAGTGAAATTGCAGGGATGCAATTTATATACATAAATCAAGTCATGCGGTGTGACCAACAATGCTTTTGTAGTATTAGCAGTTATGAGGTTAGATTTTGTGTGTGTGCGTGTGTTATAAGATTGAATAATGATTGTTAGTTTGTTTGTTTGTTTGTTTGTTTGTTTGTTTGTTGGTCGAACCAAATGAATTGCTGCCAGACAAAGGTTTTTCAAATATTTATCATATAATAAGCAGAAATTATATTTATCATATAATTTTTTTTTTTGTGTAGTAGTAGTGAACAAGGCAATCAAATCGATTCCAAACAAATAAGAACAAATCAGTCACTTCAACTTACGAACTGCATATTTGGCCATATTGTTTTGTTGAATAGCTGCATTGCCAGCATATCAGCACGTGGCCTTTGTCCGGCCGTTTCAATCTTGAGGACTGGACGCTGAGCCATAAAAAGCCGGCTATTCAGCACAGTCTGTCTGAATCACACAGCTATTCAGTCACACACACATCAGAAGTAGCTCACACGCTGCTGTTTTATTTGCTAAAAGACTCTGGCTGGATACAGACGAGCTATGAACTGTCAAAATGCATTTGAGCTTGTGCTTTTTTTTTGTTTGTTTTTTTTTATTTTTCACAACGCAGTGACATTTTTAAAGAAACAATTGACCTAGATAGAAATTGCGTCGGAAATAGGTATGATGCAACAACATTAAAGCATCAAGTAATTTGTTTATCCAGGGGCAGTCGTGGCCTAATGGTTAGAGAGTCGGACTTGTAACCCAAAGTTTGTGGGTTCAATTCTCTGGTCCAGCAGGAATTGTAGGTGGGGGGAGTGAATAACCAGCGCTCTCTTCCACCTTCAATACCACGACTGAGGTGAGACCCTTGAGCAAGGCACCGAACCCCTAACTACTCCCCGGGCGCTGCAGCATTGGCTGCCCACTGCTCCGGGTGTGTGTTCATGGTGTGTGTGTCTTCACTACTGTGTGTGTGCACTTGGATGGGTTAAATGCAGAGCAAAAATTCCGAGTATGGGTCACCATACTTGGCCACACATCACTTTACTACCTTCATTAAAAAATTCAAAACTGAACAAAATGACATTCAAAACATATTTGGTGTTTAGACTAATCAGATTTTAGATAATCAGGTGATTGGAAAAGAAATTGCGTCAGAAATAGGAGTGATACAACAAATTTACAGCATCAAGTAATTTGTTTGTCCAGACTAAAAGCACAATAGTGAACAAAATGACAACTGACTGTTTTATTTTAATTTATGAAAAACAAGACTTTGAGATTAATGAGACTAATCTCTCATTAATGAGACCAAAGGACTAATGAGATTTCACTGTGGGCAGGGCTACGTTGAATGAAGTGACTGTAATAGAAATTGCAGCAGAAATAGGTGTGACTTGACAAGGAAATTTGAAAAGGATTTTTATGGCAATGAGTTTTTATTGTGGACGAGGCTGCACAGCATAAAACAACAAAACTTGAATTAAAATGGAAAAAAAATAGCTTTAATCTTGTCACTTTCTGTTCTGCCTAGTTAGGAAGAGTTAAAAAAAGCTAATTTTACTTTTTTTTGTACCCAATGAAAGTGAAATACTGCGTGAAATAAAATCCCATCCAATCAGAATTTATTTGATGTTTAATAAACACTCAAATTGTCAAATATAAATCAAATTGTATTTTCGACAAATGGGATTATAGTGTGGGTGGGAAATCGGTGCGTGATGCAACAAATAGAAATCAAAAACTTGAATAACATAGAAAAAAATAACATCGCTTGATGTTTTAGTGTTACAGAACAACAAAATGTAATAAAAAAAAAAATTGTTTTATTATTATTGAAAGCTAAATTACAGCTAAATGTAATTGATATTTTATTTACAGCCATTTGAAATGATTTGGACAAGTGAGATTTCAGTGTATAGAAATAGAAACCAAAAACACTGACAAAATGTGTAATTGCTTTTCGCAAATTGTGGCGGATTAAGACCAAACTCACAAACGTGCAAAAGATTATCATTTGCTTCTTTATTGGGTTGCACAATACACCAACAAGCCTCTCACAACCACAGATCGCCCTCAAAGAACCAAATGCAGCTTATAGTTATTACAGTAAGGAGTCCAGTGAAGAAACAAGTGCTAATTCATTTTAAATATGTATGCATAAATCAGTCTGCTAATGATGTGCTCGTGGGCAATAAGAAACTCGCCTTATTGCAGAACTACTTGACGCTTATAGTCGGTCCAATCTTATATTCGGCTCAAATCCCCCCGGCTCATGGCAGTCAGTGCATTATCTTCATGCACACACATGCATGCACGTATGCACACGCTGCCTCCTTTCTATGTTTGCCCCTCTTTTCTGTCCATTTCTCTTGCTGGCACAGCCATAAGGTCACAGCTACATACTCTGATCTAATTTTCCAGCTCCAGAAGCTCGTGCTGAATGTGTTTGCATGTTTCCTCACTGTAAGATGCATAAATATGAAGAGAATATACATACACACATCAAGTCTGTAGCGTCTGGACCAATCAAAAACACAATTTTTCATTTGATTTAACAAATCAGTTATTCATTAGATTAACAAATCATCACAGACCCCTCACCCAATAAACTGGGTGCCAGGATGTCTGCGACACATCTCCCCCCCTGGTCCCCATGGCAACTAATGCTGATATCACTGGTTTTATGGCCCCAAAGGAATGTGAGTAGCGAAAATCAGTACCTTTTCCATAGGAAGAGACACAATGCACAGTAGAAATTGACTTTTCTACTAATTAATTAATAGGAAAACCTTTCTTTGAATGAACACACATATCCTTCAGGTCATTGTGTATGTTGTCGTTATATTGTATACTGTTTATGCTGACTTGTGATGGAACCACTCGTTTCTGTCATCTTACCTATATGTAATCTTACCATGTTTAGTATCTACAAATTCGTCTTCTGATGATCTAAACGAGAGTGTATATTTTATGTTGGTACATAGGCAATATATTAGTGTTCTTAGAATCATTAGTAATTTCGATTCAAGTTCCATATGCAAATTACCATGCTTTCACACAAAGGGTCATAAAACTCCCCAGTATTTCCAAATTCCAGCTTGGGACTTCAGCCTTTCTCATTGGACAAGCCCATCTTGAGAGGCGCGAATCTTCTCAGACCCTAAAGGCCTCACATCAGTGACCCGCCCCGGAGTCTGCGGTATGGTTGAATTCTGAGAAGATGAAAATGTGAGCTACAACGCTCCAGGACACCCTAAGTTTTGTGGCAGGCCTCGGGCCTTGACTTTCCATTCACCAAGATAATCTTGCTCAAACTGGTTCTTTTCCATCAACCAACTTCAGCAAACATCAACTTGAGCCTTCAGATTGCATCAGGAATCTCTGTCAGACAGACAAGATGTGCAAGTATCAAACTTAGTCTTATTAATTGATACATTAGGTATCATTTGCACCTTTTTACAAAGGTGTGTTTGAACTAAGAATCTGATGTTTCCTTCAGGCTGTAGATCTGCTGAATATCAAATGGTTCCATAACTTCATATTTTTATTTCTCTGCTCTTTACTGCTTAAGCTTTAACCCTTTCCTATACCAACTGTATGTGTGTGTGTGTGTGTGTGTGTGTGCGTGTGTATGTGTATGTAAGACTAGTTTAAGTGTTTATGTAGTATGTTGGACTAGTTTAAGTGTTTATGTAGTTAATAAAGTCTTACTTGTATCACACTTGATGTTGTTCATTGTTTGCTCATAACTGGTGTCCCTAATCATGCAGATTTATGCTACAGACTCTGTGTAGAGTTGTACAGTAAGAAAGTTATTTCCCTTAACCAGGAAATTAACGTTCTTAGAATTGACAGACAGTTGACCCTGAGAGGTCAAGTAAATATCTACAGCGGATCTAAATATTTATACTTAATTATAACTAGTTATGATTAATTATTCATATTTCCCCATGAGCTGATTCGCTACAAGTCAGATCGTGCAGGTTTGAGGAAGGGTTTTGACATGTGCTTTATTCCATGCATGGCTGCCACCTTGCTTCGGATGTGGGGCAATTAAAAATTTACACCGCCGTGCGGTAAAGCAAATTGCCAGAATTCAGGAAGGCCTTGTATGACGGAAGACCAGGGACGAAATTACGGCCAGCGAAGGCTGGGAGGGTTCAAGGAACTTAAGCCCCTCTGCTTCGGTCTCATTTCCACCCGAGTGTATACGCCAGGGATTGAGCGTATTTCAACAAATACAGGAAAATGAAACTGCCGCTGCTATCTGATATTACAATCTCCTTGGTTAGGAGAGTTTGTGCTGCCGAAAAATTGCCACTGTCTATGGTTGAATGGCAATGCGTTCAGCTGGATTTTCATTTCCTCATGACTGTGTGGATATCTGAGCTACAACTACGGGAGAAATACTGGCCCAAAATTGCAGCCGTGGTCAGACCGTAATGTTTGGCTTCGCACGGCCTGAGCTCAATCATGATGTTAGTGGGTTACATGCATTTTTATAACTCTTCTACATAATATCGATTTATTTTCAAATAAAGCTGTCTTATTTGAAATATTAGCTACTTGAATATAGTTATTTTTGGAATATATACACTATGTATATACTTATTTAACAATCAGTAGGACCAGTTTTACTAAACAGGGCAAATTAGCGCGATAGAGCACAAGTCCAAAACAGCACCGATGGGCATTGAAATTTCTGCGGGTGATTTACTGACAATGCGCAAATTAAAGAAAACAGACGCAACATCTCATTTCCATAATGACCAATGCAATCTACCATGCACAGTGCAAATTAGTGTAAGGATATGTTCGGATTCGGATAATGTGTTCTTCTGGCATTCCAAATAAATGAATACGTGTGTAAAAAATCCTCTCCCATCTACCACGCGCTCTCTGTTCTCTGCGGTGCCTCCTCCTAGCAACAACAATCACAGCCATTTCAAGTGTAAAATAGTTTAAGACATACTTTTTTGGGGGCATTAAATAATGGCACAAATACCAGTCATTTGACGAGTGCAAATGTTAGTAAAACACGTTGCGTGATTCATTTTAATACTCTCCTCCCATAAATTTTGCGTCTGAAAGGGAAACTCCTACAAATGCATTTTAAATAAGGTCAGGCACAAAAATAACTGTGTCCACGCCTTCAGTGCTAATTCGTCACTGCGTGTCTTTAGTTAATCCTGACGGACTATTATAGCACTAAAAGACTGTTTGCACTGGTGCAAGTTGTTCGTAAAACTGGCCCTTAGAATATATCTGAATATATTACAAGATTTATTATTATATATTTGGATTAAGAACTATATATTTTATAGTTTACTAGTATATTTTTAGAATATATATTTAGATTGGTTACTGTATATACATATTTATATTTTAAATATTCAAATTAATAACTGCATATTCTTATTTACATTTATATATTCAGATTTATAGCTATAATGATACAAATTCTAAGTAAATAATAAATTTTTATTTTATGCATGAACATTTGCATATTGTCACGCTTTGCTTGTGGGAGGAATGAGGAGACATGGAGATTTCACAAAACGAGAGTCTTTAATAATCCAACAGGGAGACACAGAGCACAAGGAAGACGTTCAAGACCCGACAAGGAAACATGAGGCAGACTACACATTTATACTAAACTTAATGAGGGACAGATAGGTGTGGGGAATCCACTAATAATGATGAGACAACGAGAACAGGAACATGACCGAATAAGGGAACACTGAAACAGAAACAGGGGCAAAACAGGTCAATAATCCTGACATATCGCCCCCCTCCCGGAAGGCGCGTCCTCGCGATGTAGAACAACAGAGGGGGGGAACGGGTGGGAACTAAGGAGGCGGCTCGGGAGGAGGATGGACACCCGGGAGGGGGCCAGCAGACAGAGACCAGGGAGGCAGCGAAGGAGGGTGGAGCCAGGGAGGAGACAGGAGGGGCCCGGAGCAGGACCCAGGCCACAGCCATAACGGCGGCCCACAGTGGAGACGACAGAGGGAGGAGCCATGGAGGAGAACCAACGGCGGCAGAGCAGGTGGTGGAGGAGCCCGAGACAGAGACCCGATGAGCCAGGGCAATGGGGAGGATCTGGAGGTTCGAGGTGGAGCAGATGGCACCGACGACCGACGCAAAGGCGTGGATCCAGGGACAATCGTGGATCCAGTGGAATCAGCGACAGAGGACTGAGGAAGAGCTGAGGGGATGAAGGAGCCTGACAGAGCCGGAGGGACGAAGGGACGAGGTGAAGCATATTTTATGCATGAACATTTGCATATTGTCACGCTTTGCTTGTGGGAGGAATGAGGAGACATGGAGATTTCACAAAACGAGAGTCTTTAATAATCCAACAGGGAGACACAGAGCACAAGGAAGACGTTCAAGACCCGACAAGGAAACATGAGGCAGACTACACATTTATACTAAACTTAATGAGGGACAGATAGGTGTGGGGAATCCACTAATAATGATGAGACAACGAGAACAGGAACATGACCGAATAAGGGAACACTGAAACAGAAACAGGGGCAAAACAGGTCAATAATCCTGACATATCGCCCCCCTCCCGGAAGGCGCGTCCTCGCGATGTAGAACAACAGAGGGGGGGAACGGGTGGGAACTAAGGAGGCGGCTCGGGAGGAGGATGGACACCCGGGAGGGGGCCAGCAGACAGAGACCAGGGAGGCAGCGAAGGAGGGTGGAGCCAGGGAGGAGACAGGAGGGGCCCGGAGCAGGACCCAGGCCACAGCCATAACGGCGGCCCACAGTGGAGACGACAGAGGGAGGAGCCATGGAGGAGAACCAACGGCGGCAGAGCAGGTGGTGGAGGAGCCCGAGACAGAGACCCGATGAGCCAGGGCAATGGGGAGGATCTGGAGGTTCGAGGTGGAGCAGATGGCACCGACGACCGACGCAAAGGCGTGGATCCAGGGACAATCGTGGATCCAGTGGAATCAGCGACAGAGGACTGAGGAAGAGCTGAGGGGATGAAGGAGCCTGACAGAGCCGGAGGGACGAAGGGACGAGGTGAAGCAGGAGGAGTGGAGTCCCGAGGCGCAGGATGGTCGATGCCAGACCAAGGCGGAGCCGGAGGAAAGAGGAAGCCCGGCGGAGCTAGTGGACTGCCGGGCCACGGCGGAGAGGATGGAGCTAGGAGCCATGGTGGAGCCAACGGGTTAAGGCGGAGTCCGGAGCCCAGAGGCTGGAGGCGGAGTCAAGGGATACTCCGACCACGGGCGACAGTATATTTTTAGAATATATATTTAGATTGGTTACTGTATATACATATTTATATTTTAAATATTCAAATTAATAACTGCATATTCTTATTTACATTTATATATTCAGATTTATAGCTATAATGATACAAATTCTAAGTAAATAATAAATTTTTATTTTATGCATGAACATTTGCATATTGTCACGCTTTGCTTGTGGGAGGAATGAGGAGACATGGAGATTTCACAAAACGAGAGTCTTTAATAATCCAACAGGGAGACACAGAGCACAAGGAAGACGTTCAAGACCCGACAAGGAAACATGAGGCAGACTACACATTTATACTAAACTTAATGAGGGACAGATAGGTGTGGGGAATCCACTAATAATGATGAGACAACGAGAACAGGAACATGACCGAATAAGGGAACACTGAAACAGAAACAGGGGCAAAACAGGTCAATAATCCTGACATATCGCCCCCCTCCCGGAAGGCGCGTCCTCGCGATGTAGAACAACAGAGGGGGGGAACGGGTGGGAACTAAGGAGGCGGCTCGGGAGGAGGATAAAGGGAAACTCCTACAAATGCATTTTAAATAAGGTCAGGCACAAAAATAACTGTGTCCACGCCTTCAGTGCTAATTCGTCACTGCGTGTCTTTAGTTAATCCTGACGGACTATTATAACACTAAAAGACTGTTTGCACTGGTGCAAGTTGTTCGTAAAACTGGCCCTTAGAATATATCTGAATATATTACAAGATTTATTATTATATATTTGGATTAAGAACTATATATTTTATAGTTTACTAGTATATTTTTAGAATATATATTTAGATTGGTTACTGTATATACATATTTATATTTTAAATATTCAAATTAATAACTGCATATTCTTATTTACATTTATATATTCAGATTTATAGCTATAATGATACAAATTCTAAGTAAATAATAAATTTTTATTTTATGCATGTACATTTGCATATTGTCACGCTTTGCTTGTGGGAGGAATGAGGAGACATGGAGATTTCACAAAACGAGAGTCTTTAATAATCCAACAGGGAGACACAGAGCACAAGGAAGACGTTCAAGACCCGACAAGGAAACATGAGGCAGACTACACATTTATACTAAACTTAATGAGGGACAGATAGGTGTGGGGAATCCACTAATAATGATGAGACAACGAGAACAGGAACATGACCGAATAAGGGAACACTGAAACAGAAACAGGGGCAAAACAGGTCAATAATCCTGACATATCGCCCCCCTCCCGGAAGGCGCGTCCTCACGATGTAGAACAACAGAGGGGGGGAACGGGTGGGAACCAAGGAGGCGGCTCGGGAGGAGGACGGACACCCGGGAGGGGGCCAGCAGACAGAGACCAGGGAGGCAGCGAAGGACAGAGGGACGAGGCGCAGCCAGAGGAGTGCAGTCCCGAGGCGGCGGATGGTCGACGACAGACCAAGGGACAAGGGAGCCCGGCGGAGCTGGTGGACTGCCGGGCCACGGCGGAGAGGATGGAGCTAGGAGCCATGGTGGAGCCAACGGGTTAAGGCGGAGTCCGGAGCCCAGAGGCTGGAGGCAGAGTCAAGGGATACTCCGACCACGGGCGACGCTGGAGGATGGCAGTACCGTGGAGCTCGCACCGCATAGAAGGTGGGCTGAGGGTGAGCAGAGGGGCTGCCAGACAACAGCGGAGGAGGAGGCAGGAGAGTGTAGGTGGGCGGGCATTTGTGAGACTCCGGGCTTAACTTGGGACCAGGAGCCCTCTCAGGGCTGGACGTGGGAACAGGAACATTCTCTGGGCTAGACATAGGAACAGGAACTTTCTCTGGGGTAAACGAGGGGACTGGAGCCCTCTCTGGGCTAAGCTCGGGGACTGGAACCCTCTCTGGGCTGGACTGAGAAACGGGAGCCCACTCAGGGCTGGACGGGACCAGCGGGGACGAAGGAGAGAGGAGAAGGGGCAAGTCGGCTTCCAGCTCTGTTTCCCAGTCTATAAGATCCCCCACGAAGTCCAGCAGTCCCAGCTGTATAATCAGCTCACCCTGAGCCGTGGTGCAGTCGGCGGAGCTCCACTCCGCGCTCTCACCGTCCGCGGCATTCTCCCTTGTGGCAGACTCTGTTGCCGGCTCTCGCACCTTGACTGACGTCACTTGCAGCTCCAGCTTCGTGGCGATCCGTTTCTCTGTCGCTCCATGCGGCAATGGCTCGTCGGCCGCGGTGAGCTCGGGCTCTCCGTCAGCGGTGGGCTCGAGCATGCACTCCGCACAGCGGGGAGATGGTGGGCTGGGCAATGGGTCCGGAGTGACGGTGAACGGGGATCCGTGTCTCGCCAGTGTCCACTCCACAAAGGCGGCGAAACTCGCTCAAGGGCCTTCCTCGGATGACAGCGCTCTGAATGCCGGGTTTAGACTGGCATCATAGAACGTACAGAGTGCGTCGTCCGGGTAGCTGGAGAGGTTGGTGAGGACCAGGAACAGTCTGGTGTGGCCCTCAAGCAAATTTCCCCCCTGCTCCAGTAGGAGGAGGAAGTATTCAGGGCGGGCGAGGGGATCCATAGGCACAATGGAAACAAAAAACACTGGGTAAAAGCGGAAACAAAAATGGAGGGAAGACACGGAGGTTACTGTTTTCGGTCTGGTATTCTGTCACGATGCACTACTGTGAGGAGCACGGAGCGAGGAACGAGGAGACGTGAAGTAGAATTCCAACAAACAGACTTTAATCAACATCAATGGAACCAGGAACACACACGTAGCAGGGAAAGACGAACATTCAATACCAGACAAAGAAACTCAGAACAGGACTCACTATAAATACACAGGACTTGACGAGGGGATAACGAGACACAGCTGGAACTAATGAGCAATCAAACACATGGGAAGCATTTGTGAGCCTCCGGGCTTTCAGGCCAGAACTCAGGAATGGTAGCACTCTCTTCATCGGTGTGGCACAGTCGCCACGCCATACACAGCTCACCCTTGGCCGCGGTGCAGGGGGCGGAGCTCTTCTCCGCGCTCACACCATCCACAGCTTTCTCCCTTGTGGCGGGCATTGTTGCCGGCTCACAAACCTTGACTGACGTCATCAGCTGCTCTGGCTCCGCGGCGATCCTCAGCTCTGTCATTCCGTGTGGCAATGACTTGTCGGTCGCGGAAGGCTCCAGCTCTCCGTCAGTGGTGGGCACAGGCATGCACTCCGTCAGACCAGAACTTAGGAACGGGAGCCCTCTCCTCTTTGGTGTGGCACAGTCACCGCGCCATACACAGTTCACCCTCAGCCCCTGTGCAGGGGGGCGGAGCTCCTCTCCACGCTCACACCGTTCGCGGCTTTCTCCCTCGTGGCGGGCGTTGTTTCCGGCTCACACACCGTGAGTGATGTCATCAGCAGCTCTGGCTCCGCGGCAATCCTCAGTTCTGTCGCTCCGTGCAGCGATGGTTCGTCGGTCACAGCAGGCTCTGGCTCTTCGTCAGCAGTGGGCTCAGGCATGCACTCCGTGCAGCGGGGAGATGGTGGGCTGGGCACTGGGTCTGGAGTGGCACTGGCGAGAGCCCCCTTGGGACAGACGGTGATCGAGGATCCGTGTCTCGCCAGTTTCCACTCCACAAAGGTGGTGAAATTCGCTCGAGGACCATCTTCGGACGACAGCGCTGTGCACAAGATGTTTAAATTGGCGTTGTAGAATGCACAGAGCGCGTCGTCCGGGTAGCTAGTTAGAGCAGCGAGGACCAGGAACAGTCTAGTATGGCCCTCGAGCCATCTCTCCCCCTGCTCCAGCAGGAGGAGGAGGTACTCCGGACAGGAGAGGGGATCCATGGAAAACACAAAGGAAACAAAACACTGAGGGAAAAAAACTGAAATAAAAACGGAGGGTAGACACACAGAGGTAACTGTTTCGGTCAGGTCTACTGTCACGCTTTGCTTACGGGAGGAACGAGGAGACGTGGAGATTTTACAAAACGAGAGTCTTTAATAATCCAACAGGGAGACACAGAGCACAAGGAAGACATTCAAGACCCAACAAGGAAACATGAGGCAGACTATACATTTATACTAAACTTAACGAGGGACAGACAGGTGCGGGGAATCAACTAATAATGAGACAACGAGGAACATGACCAAAAAAGGGAACACTGAAAGAGAAACGGGCAAAACAGGTCCATGATCCTGACACATATGTAGTTATAAATATGAATATGTAAATATTAGGGCTGTCAATAGATAAAAAAATGTAATCGAATGTGGGAGGGCGGGCATTTGTGTGGCTCCGGGCTTTCAGGCCAGAACTTTGGAATGATAGCCCTCTCCTCTTTGGTGTGGCACAGTCACCGCGCCATACATAGCTCATCCTCAGCTGCGGTCCAGGGGGCGGATCTCCTCTCCGCGCTCACACCGTCCGTGGCTTTCTCCCTCGTGGCGGGCGTTGTTGCCGGCTCACACACCTTGACTGATGTCATTTGCAGCTACGGCTCCGCAGCGATCCTCAACACTGTCGCTCCATGCGGCGATGGCTCGTCAGTTGCGGCAGGCTCCGGCTCTCCGTCAGTGGTGGGCTCGGGCATGCACTCCGCGCATCATACACCTGTGTATCCTCGCTCAAGTGTCCACTCCACAAAGGTGGTGAAATTCGCTCGAGGACCATCTTCGGACGACAGCGCTGTGCACAAGATGTTTAAATTGGCGTTGTAGAATGCACAGAGCGCGTCGTCCGGGTAGCTAGTTAGAGCAGCGAGGACCAGGAACAGTCTAGTATGGCCCTCGAGCCATCTCTCCCCCTGCTCCAGCAGGAGGAGGAGGTACTCCGGACAGGAGAGGGGATCCATGGAAAACACAAAGGAAACAAAACACTGAGGGAAAAAAACTGAAATAAAAACGGAGGGTAGACACACAGAGGTAACTGTTTCGGTCAGGTCTACTGTCACGCTTTGCTTACGGGAGGAACGAGGAGACGTGGAGATTTTACAAAACGAGAGTCTTTAATAATCCAACAGGGAGACACAGAGCACAAGGAAGACATTCAAGACCCGACAAGGAAACATGAGGCAGACTATACATTTATACTAAACTTAACGAGGGACAGACAGGTGCGGGGAATCAACTAATAATGAGACAACGAGGAACATGACCAAAAAAGGGAACACTGAAAGAGAAACGGGCAAAACAGGTCCATGATCCTGACACATATGTAGTTATAAATATGAATATGTAAATATTAGGGCTGTCAATAGATAAAAAAAATTTAATCGAATTAATTACATGATGTGTCGATATATTTTTTAATCTAAATAATCGCGAACACTGAAAGAGAAACGGGCAAAACAGGTCCATGATCCTGACACATATGTAGTTATAAATATGAATATGTAAATATTAGGGCTGTCAATAGATAAAAAAATGTAATCGAATTAATTACATGATGTGTCGATATATTTTTTAATCTAAATAATCGCAAGTTAAATTTGGCTATGAAAATTCCCCTTAAAGATTATTTAATCTTTATTAAATCTTTAATCTTTAATCGTTTTATCTTTAAGCTATTTTTGTGTTAATGAGAAAGTATTAAGTAAACATTACAAACAGTAGCTTTAGAAAGAAATATTTTATTTGATTCAGCATAAAATGTATTACACATAACCATTTAAGCTACAACGGCCCAACATAAACTATGGATCATAAAAGAACATAATTTGAGAAACAATTTTTGCAATGCAAATCATTGGTAACCAAAACAGCTTTATTACCAACAGTCTTCAAAATACCTCCTTTTATGTTCCACAAAAGAAAGTAAATCATTCAGGTTTGAGTAAATGATGACATAATAAAACATTTTGGGTGAACTATCCCTTTAAAGTTTTCCCCCCCTTTTTTAAAATGAAAGAATACTCTAAATAACACACAAAAACTGCCAGCAGGTGGCGGTAAATGTCTTAATGCCTTTCTTCATTCATTCGATTCATTCAAACGGCTGATTGATTCAGGAATTGAGTAAACGGCTCACTTTATGAATGGGCCTTTGAATCATTGGTTCACTCGATTCGTTTCCAAACATGGATTCATTCAGAAACTAAACATTGCTGTGTTGCTCGGAGACATGCAACAGTTCTGCTGTGGCTTTAGGTAATATTTTTGTTGACAAAAACAGACAATATTGTGTTTAAAATATAAAACGATATGAATTTCTTATTTACTGAACTGGTGTATGAAATCACATTTGCAGTCGTTATTCGTACATATAATCAGCACTCATGTGATATTGTTCTCGCTGCTCGTGTGATATCGCTTATCATATGATATAAATATGAGACAAAAACTCATTCAGGAGCATTTTTTAATTTTGAATTGAATTGAAATATCTTGAATTTTAGAGTGTTGCCCTGCATCATATTTGTCAACTGTATGAAATGTAAGATGATGTACAGACAGGTATACTTGAATATAGGAATATAATATAGATTTCACATTACAGTTATATTTGCGTGTGAAAAAAAAAAATAAAATAAAAAATAAATAAATATATATATATATATCCAGAGCTCTGACTTAAACCCAATTGAGCATCTCTGGAGAGACCTAAAAATTGCTGTTCACCAACGTTTACCATCCAACCTGACCGAACTGGAGAGGATCTGCAAGGAGGAATGGCAGAGGATCCCCAAATCCAGGTGTGAAAAACTTGTTGCATCTTTCCCAAAAAGACTCATGGCTGTATTAGATCAAAAGGGTGCTTCTACTAAATACTGAGCAAAGGGTCTGAATACTTAGGACCATGTGATATTTCAGTTTTTCTTTTTTAATAAATCTGCAAATATGTCAACAATTCTGTGTTTTTCTGTCAATGTGGGGTGCTGTGCTGCAATATAACAAAGAGTGAAAAATTTAAGGGGGTCTGAATACTTTCCGTACCCACTGTATATATATATATATGAACATTAAAAAGTCCACTGAAATTGGTAAACACTTTTTTTAAGTTATAAGAAGCAGCAACAGACTCAGCTGCTCTTTGTGCAAGATAATCTGTTTCTGTTATCTTATTCACAGTTAATGCATAGACATTAACAGACAGATGTGTAGCGTTAGAGTTACATCAGATATATGTCTTAGTTAGTGCCTTTATGGTCCACGTTCACACAGAAACCTCAAGAATCGGGAAAGCACCAAGTGTGCCCCCTGCGTCACAGCTTCTCGTAAAAATGCAGCCCGCACTTTGATTCCAGGGCCTCGTTTTCCTCTGTAGAACAGCTGCACTTTTTATTCCCACAGTTTTATGCTCTCTCCTGAATCCATTTCGTTGGGTCCTGGACCTATGGGAATTCCTCCGGGTGCTTGGCGGCTTAAAATTTAATGAGAGTTTTACTTCACAGATCAACCACCACTCTCTCTCTCTCTCTTTTCCTCCCTCTCGCTCTCTATCACTTTCTCTTACAAACGCATAGCCTATATCTTTCTGGACCAACAAGCCCTCGGCCCTGATTTTCGCCGGATGTCTCAGAGCTAAAGCAAACAAACAGTCAAGAAAGGATTGGACAAATACCATCAACACATTCCGAAAATTCTGAACGCTCCAAACTTAGGACTAAAGGAACATTGAATTTCTTCTTTTATTGGCTTTGTCCAAGAACTTTCATAACACACAGTAAATATTTTGTTCTCCTTCGTAATAGCTCAAGGTGGTGTGCAGAACTTCTAGGTTTTCAATAAATACTCTGAGCGCTGCAGATAATCGCATTTGAGGTTAAGATTAAAATGCCAGTGCAGGCCTACAGTCTGCATACAACTTAATACCACGAGTTCAAGAAGTTAAAGGGATAGTTCACCCAAAATGAATGTTCTGTCATCATTTACTCCTACTTTGTTCTAGGGAACACAAAAACTCTTAATACAGTAAAAGTGAATGGTATGGAAGTCCATTTTTGCCACCACTAAAAACATTTTAAAAAGTAATTGCGACTTTTTATCTTATAATTCAGACTTTGTTTCACGCAGTTCTGAGAAAAAAAAAGTCAGAATTGCAAAATGTAAATTCAGGATTCAAAAGATTTTTTTGCTGGCAATTCCAAGTTTATATCTCACAATATGAGACGTTTTCCGCTTTCAGAATCCAGATTCGCAATTCTGAGTTTATATCTTGCAGTTCTGAGATTTATTCTTTGTGGTAGCAACAGGTTTCCAAAGGATGGTGACCAAGGCTGTCGAGCTTCAAAAAGTACAATTAAACCCTATAAAAACATCAAAGAAATAGTCTAAATAACTTGAAGTAAAAGTCTTTTCTTTTTTTTTCAGAAGACTTCACTAAAAAAAAAAAGGTGTAGTTTGCATAATAGGACTCGGTGTTTATGAATATTGAAATCATAACACCTAGTCCTCTTATGCAAACTACACTTTTTTTGTGAAATCTTTTGAAGTCATACAGTAAGTTTGTGTGAGGAATAGATTGAAATTTACATTGTAAATAACAGAAAATTGTTGTAACCATTCCCTTTCATTGTATGGAAAAGAGTAGCTTGGACATTGTGCAAAACATCTTCATTTGTCTTCCACAGAAGAAAGTATGTCATACAGGTTTGGAATGACATGAGGGTGAGAAATGATAACAAAATTCTCATTTCTCATTTTTGACCGAACTATCACTTTAATCAGTGGAAAAAAAGATGCTGCAGGTCCACCGTCAAACTTTTAACATATCTCACCAGTCTTTTCTAAACGCCAAATGTTTTTATTCCAGTCCACAGATGTCTCTAACTCTCTTGAGGTTTTACCCAGAAATAATTTTAACTACTTTGGTGATAAAAAACCTGAAGGGATACAAGATAAGGCCTTTATTTGAGATTGCAACCTTGCGCTGTCTTACACTTGGGCATTTTGTGGTACAATTCTTGACCTGCAAAAGTCCTGCATTTTGTTTAGTCGTGCAGCACAACTAATGAGCAGTGACTGAATGCATTGATAGTGTCCCTGATAATGATATCCTATCTAAGCAGTTAAGGAAACAATACAATAAAACAGTTCTAGAAAGGCTAAGGGCATGAAGGTTCAAACAAGAGTGAAATCGAAAATCCAATCTACATCCCCAATTGTAAGTCGCTTTCGATAAAAGCGTCTGCAAAATGACTAAATGTAAATGTAAATTTCTCTTCCCCAGTGACTGTTTTTCGTCGCTTTTCTGGCAACTCCTTCAAACGCCTACGTGAGTGCCGTATGCCTAGAGCCAGTGTTGTCGAGTTTGTATGTGCAAACTGATTGCTTTGTACTTGGCCCTTGCTAAGCATTCCGACAACAAGACAGAGAACAACAGTTACCACCCATTTTTTTTTCAGCAGCCTTGGTTCCAGATTTCCAGTGGATTTTTTTTTCCTATTCACTACATGCTTTTTGAAAAGTTCTTTGATAAAAATGATTTTTATCAGTTCTTATTTAAACGAGAACATTTGATTTAAAGCAAAAAGTATTTGAAAATGATGTATCAGTACACTTAAAGTATACAGTAGAAAGTTATGCAGCTATGTAAATACACACAGTATGTATGTATATATACTGTATATATATACACACAGTATATAAACAGTATATATATATATATACACACACACATATACACAGTATATACATATACATACATATATGTGTAACAATTAATCTAAATGACGAAAGCACAATAAACTTACTAGAAATGTTAATACAATTAAAATTAAAATTAAAACTAAAAATGTAAAAAAAATAAAATAAAATAAAAATTATAAATGCTATCATAATATATAAATAAACTGCATGGGAGGCATGGGATTTCTTTTGACCCAATTTCCTTCAACTTCATTCTGCAATTAAGTTAATTTTTTTCTTTAAAAAGATGTGCATTTTTAAAAAAATTTAACCACACTGACTGTTCAGTCATTAATTCATTAATTAAAAATAAATAATTTTAAATAAAAATGTCCTGATAATCAACCCTTATAATGGGTTTATTTGTATATGTTCAGTGAATAAATGCCTTATGAAGTAAATAATTCACTGCACAAAGCACATTGTGTTCTGACCAAATTATGGACAATTATATGATTAGTTGCTTTTTTTATGTTGCCAGTTAACATTGTTTTTTCCCCTGCCTTGATGTAGACCTGCAACCCATTTTTGGGACACGACCCACCATTTGAGGACCTAACCACAAATACATTTGTGGCCTCCCCTGATATTCCCCCATATTGTGGCTGCTAATCGACATTTTCACATCAATTTCAGCTAGCCTCTTATCTTGGCTGATGCACAACTTTTCGCTACCATCAGATCACAGTCATATTCCGGCCTATTTGCCAAAATCGATTTTGTAGTTTTTTATTTTTTATTTTATTCGGATGGTATAGTGCTGGAACAGGGGATGTTATAGGCTGATAAAGGTCAAGTGTAGCATCAAATCATTGAGAGATTCATAATGAATGTGAGCACGGATCTTGCGTTTCATTACCACTCAGAGAATGAGTGAGCCAGACTTAGAAACCCACACATCCAAGGTCAGACCATGATCATTGGTGGCCTTGTCAATCTCAAAACACACCCACATTCTTCATCTGATCTGTTTGATATTTCAGGTGCGATATCATAACCTATCAAGTAATGAAATCTGAAATAGATTTTGTTATGTAACGGTCAAGCTGCCAAGGCACATGTCAATCTACTGATGCCGCTAACAGTTTTGTAGATGTATTTGTTTGTTTGCCTGAGGTTTGATGTTGAGAGTTTGTTAGACAGTAATCCAGAATCATGATGTTGTTGTTGTTGTTGTTAGTTTTTTCTTGGGGAAAAACGGAAATGTTATTTTTAAAATGCATCCAGCCACTTTGTGTTTGGTGCAAAGTTGAAGTGAAGAAGTCATGGTAGATTCACATAAGAACTTAAGGTTTTGATCATTCTTAAAGGGGCAGTTCACCCCAAAATAAAAATTCCGTCATCATTTTATTCACTCCCAATGTATTCCAAACCTGAGTGACATACTTTCTTCTGTTGAGCACAATTAACGGGTGTCCAAAATGCTCTTTTGGAAATAATGAAAGTGGATGGGGACCGGAGCTTAAAAAAGTCCACAAAAGCATCATAAAGGTAATTAATTCATACGACTCATATTCCAAGTTACATGATAGATATAATGTGATTTGACAGTCCAAAAGTCATTATTAGGTGAAAATATATAGAAAACAATCTCCAATGAGCTGCAACGAGATCACTGAATCAGTGAATTTAACTTTTAGAAGAATTGGATAAGTCCAATTGATAAATTAATCATTAAGGCTGGTTTTGTGAACTGCATTCCATGAAAAGATCCAAGTCAAACGAATGAATCATTCACAGAGGAATGACTTGTTCAAGCATCTCTACTCTTGTCAACATGCTTGGTAGAGTTATAGCGAGTGTCAAGTGTAATAATGAATTTTCTTTTGTAAGTTTTAAGTGAATAATGAATTTTTGGTCTATTCCTTACAAAAAGCTATTATATGGCTTCAAAAAAAACTTCAAAAATAGCATGCAAGTTGTATGGACAAGGTTCTTTTTGGATGGTTCTTATTTATAGGATATTAATTTGTGTTCCATGGAGTCATACAGGTTTGAAAGTTCATGACAATGAGTAAAGGGCTGTTTACACCAAATATGATGACTATAACTATAAAGTTTTCTTTAAAAGTAGTCATCTATCTAATTCTATGAGAATAGCAATATCCACACCACAATACTACTATACAATACGCAATACACTATAGCGATAATGTCACAAAGAAATTATATTGTTCAAATCATTTTAAGAACGATTCTTTCCAGCTGATGAATAATAAAATCATTGACAATCAGAATCCACCCGACTTCAAAGAGCCTTCTTTTGAGATGACAGCAGCGCACGCTTACAATGAACAGAACATTCTTGTCAGTTGCGTGGACGCCATTATAGTTATAGTTATCATTATAGTTAACATTCCAGGATTTAAATGATGACAGAATTGTCGTTTTTCAGTGAACTATTTCTTTAAATCCATTCAATTCTTTTTCTTAACATGTTAACTTGCTCTAAAATTTTATTGAATTATATAGTGTCACTGTAATGGTGTGGTCACATTTACCACAATCCCCCCCACCCCCCCCCACCCACCCCGAAATATCACTAATGTGACCACATCTTAAATCATGTACATGTTGAGTTGTGTTTCCTGTGGTGGTTGACGGTCTCGCTTGCAAAGCGGGAGGTTAAACGCAGCCTGCCCTCTCTCCTCAGACTGGCTCCGATTCTCTCCTCCCTCAGGGTGCGTCGTCCAGCCTGGTGGTCAAGTTTGCCGACACGGACAAGGAGCGCACCATCCGCCGCATGCAGCAGATGGTGGGCCAGTTTGGCATCTTCAACCCTGCTATCGCCCTGCCCTTCAGCACCTACAGCACCTACAGCACCTACGCACACGCAGTGAGTACCCTTCCTCCCCTCTGGGGCACTTGGGCACGTTTTGATGATCTCACTGCCGCCCACATACCCTCCCCATCCCTGCATGCCCACATGTCCTCGCTCACGTTCCCAGAGTGACTCAGAATATTCCATAGGAAAATCTTCACCTGGTTATTTATAGCTCGCATCGGTTGCTTCGGAACGGGGGAGGTTGAGTCAGTCCCTAATATTCATTCATGAGGGACATCTCGGTTCAGTTTTGGGGAGAGATACTATAAAACAGTTAGTTTCTAGTTAGTTCCTCCATATGGAGTAGATAGATATACATATATTCATGTACTGATAGGCATAGCCGAAATTTTCTCGTAAATGCCAGGATTAATTGTTGGAGTCGACCTGGCCCCCGGGGGCTTATCATTCACACTCATTTTCATATCACAGACATGCGTGGGCCAGCGGAAGATATGCGTACGGACAATCCCACAGTAACTGCCGGGCCAGTACGAGGGAGCAAATACACCCTCATTAGCATTCATGAGATGCGGAGCGTCCGCAGGAAATGCAAATGGTCTGAGAGAGTGGCGTGCGGGAAGGCAGGCAGGGTGGTTGCTGTGGCTCCCACAGGTTGTCAGTGACTTTTATCTCCCGTGTCAGAGATGGTGCAGTGTGCCACTCGGTGGCAATGACACGGTCTCTATAATTCACTGTTCCAGCCCGAGCCACAACCCACACATGCCGAAACCAACTGCTTTATGATATCGCATGCAGCTTGTGGCGAAGTTTGTGATTTTTTTATTAGGTATCTTTTTTGCTTGCTGTTTTTGAGTAAAATAATCAAGGATATTGTTATTTTAAACCGTTTCGTTTTTTAATTTGGCCAGCGGTTATGAAAACATGAATGAACATTTCTTTTAATGAGGTGCGCTGTCACACTTTCTACGTAAAAATCAGTCAAGTCATGTAACGTGAATGTCGTACAGTCTTGCTCGAGACTAAAAAAACGTGTTGAAAAGCGTACCGAGGCGCGGAAGAGACACTGTTTCTCAAGCGCTTTACGTGAGCATGATTCGAGACGGAGTGAAACAGACAAATGCATTTCATTCATTCATAACCACTCATACTACAACCCCCGCCGAGACAATTTTGCGTAGGGCCCCCAGAAGTCTAGGATCGGCACTGATAGAAGGTAACTCTGTCACGTCCTTGCTTACTGAGATTTATTGTCCCCATACTGCGATGTTTGTGTTTTTTCCCAGTAAAAATATATAATCTTAAAAAAGGGACCTACATTACAAATAAGATTTTTGCTTCTTAAATTTATCTGGTTTTAAAGATAGCGATTCACGGTGTATCAAGTTTTACACAAAAATATTAGGTAGCAAAAACAGTTTTTAACATTAATAATAATAATAATAAATATTTATTGCACACCAAATCAGTATATTTCAATAGGCAACAGTACTTTGGAATAGTAACAACGTTTCAAAATATTACTGTTTAAATGTATTTTAATCAAATAAATGCAGCCTGGTGAGCATAAGAGACTCTCAGAAACTTCTTAATTATTACAAACCTTTGAATGGTTGTGTAGATTATATTGGGAGTAAATAACAATATTACTCACACATTTGTGGTTTCAAATCCAAATTTGACAAAATATTTTTTACATAGCTCATCCTAGTAGGTCGTAGTGACCATAACTGTCAGGTTTTAAAGACTACAAAAAAAAATGGCCATAAAATTTACATAAAAGTGGACCATACAACTCTTGCTCTTTATTCCAAGTCTTTGGAAGTTATATGTTACTTTTATGAGAGTAAATAAAAAAAATCAGTTTAAACACTGAAAATCTTGGTCACCATTCACTTTCATGCAGCTTGGACATTCCTCTAAAGTTGTCCTTTTATATTCTAAGCAAGAAATAAAGTAATTTTTTAAAAGACAAATAGGAGAGTAAAAGATTAATTTTTGACTGAACTGTCTTTGAATAAGATTAACAGAGATACACAAGAGATGTTTTTTTTAATAGTCTCGTTTTCTGCCGTCAGCCAAAGGACCTTGTTTTTCTATTCTTTTTTCCCCTCCTTCTTTCCCCTCCACCTCCTCCAAGAACAAATTGATGTTGCTCACTTCTCCCCAACATAATTACATGCTTGGGCCTCCAATTTTCTGTTTTAATTCCTAAAGAGCAGAACTGAATGCCACATCGTTATCTGAGGCAATCTGGTGGCAGCCATGAAAGGCGACATTATCCGAGCCGTTCATGGAGGGAAATTACAATATGGAAGTCTTCAACTCACCGCACTATGCTCTGCCCAAAGCCTGTCCCTCTGGCTTTTAAAGGGCATTAGCAAACTGTCACCCGGCGAGAGCCAGCCAGCTTAACTCTGACGCCCCATTCAGCACGAAGGAAAAGGCTGCGAGATGGGCACAAAAGCGTCTGATTACTGTGGCATGGCTATTACATGGCAGAGAGAGACTAGACTGTCTCGTCCCACCCTTGTCTGAAGGTTGACAAATGCATTAAACATTAAAAGTTTTCGAAATTCTTGCAAACTCACCCAAGTAACAATTTAGCTATACGTGAAAAAATTTGACAAAATACACTTCTGTTAAAGGTAGATGCTCTGAAAACGTATTAAGTACAAAGTATTAATTCATTAAGCAGTGTTGCAAAAACCTCTCAATTAATTTTGAATTAAATGTTTCTCTTGAAATGTTCCCATTGTATTTACTCAGCACATTTGTGCTGAGATTTTATTTATATTCATTTAACTTGTTTATGCTCCTTGTTTCCCCAAAACTGTGGATTTTACCTGAAGGATAATAGATGATCCTCAGTGGTTTGTTGATGGAATTATGCAAATGAAAGGAGGAGTTTATAGATAGTAATGCAGGCAAGGCTTATAGATTTGTTTTGTGGGTGGACAGCATCTTTCAGGCTCAGTGACAAGGCCAATGAGAGACTATGATTGCCTATGATTGCCTTTCTACTATCCAGAGATGAAACAGTGGCGGAGAGCAAAGCCTACATGAACAATATCATCCTCTGCATTCAAATGAAGAGTGGCAGCTGGATGATTATTGTATGAAGTAGCATATTACTTTTGGCCTTATTTTCTCTATGGGGACTGTATGCTGTGATGTGCAGGAATGCTGTTTGAATAGTTGCATTATTGTTTAACTGGATGGGAATAGTTTGATGTCGACCACGTTTTTTTAAAGCATTGCATTGCATTCGCATCTGCTCTGAAAAAAGTCTACAGCTGCACGGTGAAGTTATTAGAAGAAAAGGTAGACAGGCCAGCTACTTATTTTATTTTATTTTTAGAAAAGACAAGATACACAAACACTTTTCCAATGTCCAAAAAAATAAAATAAACAAATAACGGATATGACCTATGAAACAGCATTCGCGACCCATTTTACTTCTGTAATGCGATGTATTTCATCAACAAGAAAATGATTTGAAAAAAGGTGGTCAACTACAATTTTTACTTAATTTGTATTATTGCAATTAATTTATATTATATATAAATATATATGATTTTTTTTAGCTATTTTCATTCCCAACAAACTGAATACTCTGCCAAAAGTCTACAGGTGCTCAGTGACGTTATTATAAAAACCGTGTACAATACATGTAAACAGGCATTTATGCATGAGGTATGATCTGGATCTCATGGTCATTTAGTCTGGATCTAAGCTGGATCTGCTTCAATGTAACCATGATATATTCAGCCTTGATAGCTGTCACATCGTAAAGGAAAACGGGGGAGGGAAAAGAAGTTGCGCTGTCAAGGCCATGAAGAAAGCATCACCTTAAAGTTTGAAAGGGAAAAAATTAATACAATTCCATTTTTCTGCTCCGAACTCCCAGCTCCCTTAAGACTACACTAATATGTGCGTCGATCCCTCCATTAGAATGAGACAGACCGACAGCTATTGAAATGTTTCGAGGGAGCTTGCGACAGTCCTCTGACTGGGAAGATGGACGCGTTCACTAAACATAGGTTGACACATTTTTCTCTTTTTCCGCTCTACTTTCTCCTCTGCTCTGCGAAGCACTGCCTATCCATCATGCCCCCATGTAGCCTGTGTGCTTCTAGTAACTTTTCACTCTCTCTTTCTCCCTCTCTGCTTTCTGTTTTTCTCTATCTCTATCCGGCAGCTGATGCAGCAGCAGGCGGCCCTCATGGCTGCCAGTCACGGAGGCTACCTGGCGCCCAGTGTGGCCTTTCCCACCACCCAGATCCACCAGATGGGGGCGCTCAATATCAACAGCCTGCCACCCACCACCATGACCCCGGTGTCGGGTGAGTTTCATCAGACACTGGGTGAGCAACAGTGCTTCATTTCCTCTCTTACGGGATGGGGTCTGAGGTGAAGTGTTACCGTCGCGTTAGTCGGACCACCATGGTCGGACTAAAGCTATAAATCCTTAATCAAAAGCATATTTTTGCACAGTCGGACTAACAGAACTACATAACACAACTGTAGCTTCGCTTCACCCAGCATGTATTGTTGATTGCACAACAATTGGCCCTGCGTTCTGCTCTGAAGAGCTCTGAAAAGAGGTGAAGGCTTGATGTGTATTTAATGTATTAAGTGTTTGATTGCACACTTGTCATGTTGGATGGACTGTAGTTTGACTACGCAAAAATCCACTTTAGCTTGATTGTAAGTGCGCATGTAAATGTAACTGTGTTCAAATGCACAAAAACTGTAGACAGTTACAAATTTCTTGAGGTTTTTTTGTACAATCATTTGCGATAAAACAGAAAAAGTTAATTAACAGCGTAAAATGTGCATTATAACTGCACATGTAAACATTCTTGTGGACATGGGGAAGTCGTGGCCTAATGGTTAGAGAGTCGGACTTGTAACCCAAAGGTTGCGGGTTTGAGTCTCGCAGGGATTGTAGGTGGGAGGAGTGAATGTACAGTGCTCTCTCCCACCTTCAATACCATGACTGAGGTGCACTTGAGCAGGGCACTGAACCCCCAACTGCTCCCTGGGCGCCGCAGCATAAAATGGCTGCCCACGTGTGTGTGTGTGTGTGTGTGTGTGTGTGGGTGTGGGGGTGTGTGTGTGTGTGTGTGTGTGTGTGTGTGTGTGTGTGTGTGTGTGCGCGTGTGTGTGTGTGTGTGTGTGTGCACTTTGGACGGTATAAATGCAGAGCACTAATTCCTAGTATGGATCACCATACTTGGCTACATGTCACTTCACTTCAGTGTGTAACTTACTCTGTGTTAAAAAGTCAGTACCCATTACTTTCGGATTAACAGAACAAAAGCACAATATAATTTCTTAAGTTTTCTTGTGCAACAATTTGCGATTGTGTATGTTAAAATGCCAGTACACATTACTTTTGGGTGGATAAAACAAGTGTACAAAACAATACACAGCTACTCAATTTTTTTTATTTCTTTTGTACTGTATAACAATTTGCGTTAAACTCTAGAAAAAAAATTTGGAAGTGTGAATAGTATTTTTTTTATTTTTCTGAACAATAGTTGACACCACAATAAAAAAGTTTTATTAAAAATTATTATTGCACCTGTAGATGTACTTGCAGTTCGATCTAATAGTTTTCTGCATGTTAAAACATATTAGTATTGGTAATGTAAACAAACATTTGTGGTCTATTTGCGTTATTTTCTGTGAGTTAAAAAGTCAGTTGCATTACGTTTTACTTTTGGATTGAAAGAATGAAAGCACAAAAACTATACATAATTTCAAAAAACTATACATACATTTCTTCAGTTTTTTGTACAACCTTCTGTTATACGCCGCAAAAAAATGAGCAGAAGTCTAAATAGTCTTTGAGGTTTTATTCTGATACCACAATAAAAACTTTTTTGTGCCGTTTTTTTTTTTTTATTGTGATGTCAACTATTTCGATAATTGACAGGAAATCGCTGCTAAACAAGGTAGCAAAACAAACAAAACAAATCTCTTCCATAACTGAGCTGCAAAGTGAACCAGACTTTATGCCTGTAGTCAAAAATCGACCTGCGTGACGTAGATGACCGTCGCATGGGCAGGCGTGGAATTGCGGTTTCACATGGGAAATTTGTTTGAATATACTATGACATTTCAGAACAAGCACATTTCTTGCCTTGATTTTAAACAAATCAGCCGACATTATGTCACATTTTAAGTTACAAAAACACCCACACTGACATTTCCTAAATGGCACGCACGCCAGATTGTTTTATTCGTCCTCAGAAAGCTTTGATAATCAGAACACACGACTGCTCTGATTGTCATTCCCAACACCCCGTTATCATACAATCTAAACAAACAGGAGATCTTATTGGATAATGGCCACCTTACAGCATTTGCTTATGCAGCAGTATTGCACTTTTCCAATCCCTTCCGAAAACATGCCACCCAGTGAATTATGCTCAGCTTTAACAAAGCTCATTCCTCTTTTGTCAACAGCACTGCTGTACCAATTTACACTATACACCACGACACCGGACAATATCATTTGTCATTCCTGGTAAAGCGCATAGTTTTGGCATCATATGAGTAGCTTGCAGAAAACTGGCCAGCCGATTTCGAAGCACATTATTAGTTTCGTGGCTAATTGACTGACCGTGGAATGACAAAACGTTTGCGTTCTTATGCAAAGTTAAAACACAAGCTTCATTACCTGAGGGGCTGGAACAGCAAGATGCTCCCCCTGGCATCACATATAGATTTAATACGGTTCTATCTTTTACAAGCCGCCATCCAGTCCCATAAAAGCCTCGTCCAATTAAAGCTCCAGAGCTGTCAAGCCACACTTCTCTTCTGCGAGGCTGAGGCTATCCATGTGTGGCATTACATGCAAATGTACTTACTTGCTACTTCAAATATTAAGTCAGACTGACAGGACGATTTGTCAAATGTTTTGTTAAGACACATGCGATGCAAAACATGCACTTTTTCCATCCCGGATCATCCATCACTCACTGCATGTTTGTTTTAGCAGCACCCATTGTATTAGCAGTCCTGAAGTTCACAGGACTGCAAGACTGCAACGGTTTATATTATATTGATTTTTTTTCATTATGTATACCAAAAAGTACTGTGGTGGTACCATGGTACAGTTATGGCATCAGATGTTAATACTGTGGTACTTTGATATACATATAATATTTACATGTAACTCCTTTGTAGTGCTGTCCAATGATTAATTGCGATTAATCACATCCTAAATAAAAGTTATTGTTTACATAGTATATTTGCGTGTACTGTGTATAATTATTATATATATATATATATACAGTATATATTTTGAAAATATTTACATGTCTATATTTATATTCATATACTTTATATTATACTGTATATAAATATATTTAATATGTGAACATAACATATTTTTTCTTACTAAATACTGAGCAAAGGGTCTGAATACTTAGGACCATGTGATATTTCAGATTTTCTTTTTTAATAAATCTGCATAAATGTCAACAATTCTGTGTTTTTCTGTCAATATGGGGTGCTGTGTGTACATTAATGAGGAAAAAAAATTAACTTAAATGATTTTAGCAAATGGCTGCAATATAACAAAGAGTGAAAAATTTAAGGGGGTCTGAATACTTTCCGTACCCACTGTATATAAATATATTTAATATGTGAACATAACATATTTTTTCAGAAATGTGTACATGCATGTGTGTGTATTTATATATAAATAACAAATATACACAGTACACACAAATATACTTTGTAAACAAAAACCTTTATTTTGGATGTGATTAATCGCAATTAATCGTTTGACAGCACTACTCCTTTGATACTTCAAATGTCCAAAGCATAGTATTACCATGTGCCAAAAACATTGTACAAATGTGGTATTACTATGGTAACTGCCACAAAATATATTAATACCATGGCAGATGTCCATGAAAACATGACAATATCATGGTAAACGTCACAAAAACATAGTAATACTATCGCTAATGTCCACAAAATTATGGTAATGGCATGGTGTCACAAAACATAGAATTACTGTGACAAATGTCAATAAAAACAATGGTAATGCCATGGTAAATGTTATAAAAACATAGTATTATCATGATAAATGCTCATGAAACTATACTATCACCAAAATAAATGTCACAAAACATAGTATTACCATGTAAATTTCCATAAAACTATAGATACACCATGGTAAATGGTCATGAAACCACAATATTACCATGGTAAATGTCACAACACATAGTATGGCCATGCCAGAGAGCTATGAAATCATGGTAATGCCATGCTAAAGGTCACAAAAACATGGTATTACCATGGTAAATGTCCATGAAACCTAGCAAGTCTCATACTAACATAGCATTGTCATAATTAACTGAAGCTAAAAACAAACAATAATTTAAAAAAAATTGTTGCTTGAAATAAAATAAATGTTCACTGAAATATCTATTACATAACTTATTTTACTTCAACTAGCTGAAGGCAAAATTTTGTTTATTTTCATTAAGTTTAACTTAATAACTAAAACTGAATAAAAAAGACTATATTGACTTTTTAATTAAATGAATATAACAAAAATAATATAATAGTATCCCAATGATACTAAAATAGCACTGGTAATGTAATACCATGTTTTGGGTTGTTTTGTTTTTGGACGTGTATAGCTTGGTATTCTTGTAAATACTTTTTACTTCAACTAGCTGAAGGCAAAATTTTGTTTATTTTCATTAAGTTTAACTTAATAACTAAAAATGAATAAAAAAGACTATATTGACTTTTTAATTAAATGAATATAACAAAAATAATATAATAGTATCCCAATGATACTAAAATAGCACTGGTAATGTAATACCATGTTTTGGGTTGTTTTGTTTTTGGACGTGTATAGCTTGGTATTCTTGTAAATACTGTGCTGTGAATACCATGTTAAATGTCCATAAAACCACAGCACCTCGTCTTTTTTGCTTTTGTTTCATTCTTGCAAAAATGATCCATCTCTGTGTAAAACAACCGCACTTGTATGTTTGGATTTTATCCTCTTTGACTGGGATTAATGTCATATTAACATGCAATGCAGCTGCTGGGGTGAATTGGCCTCTGTTACACTGACTTAATTGAAAGAGACTGGCGGAGCTGCGCTGATCTCCTGTGGACGCGAGATGTGCTGAAATATGCGATGCATTGGACACGCTCCTGCGTGCGCGCATGAGCTCTGCTTTACTGATTGCCTTCCATTATTGAACCTATTGGAATCTGTTGCATTATTAATCCTGGGCGAGATAGAATGGCTGGCGTTAAAAATATTCCAAGGACTACAATAAATAAGATATTCATGTGTTTTTTTTCTAGTTCATTCATTCAT